TGCAGTTACTAGAGTGTTCTGAGTGGTCGCTATGATGTTTAACTGTTGCTAGGGCAGTCTGGGTGGCCGCTAGGCAGTTGCTAAGGTGTCCAAGTGGTTTTTCTGGATGGTTGCTATACACACAAGTGTCCAGGTGAAAAAGTCTGATCACTTGGTGGTTTTGAAAAGAGATTCAGTCATTAATGGAAGCAGCTTACATGAATGACTGTACAAACTCACAGAACTCTGTGTGTAAGCGTGTATGTGTCAGATTAGATCTAAAGCAACTGAAATAAGCCATTTTGAGTTCACTGGAATCGTCTGGATACACTCTGAAATATATAAAAGGATGTATTAATTATTAATTTATTAAATGCATCAGAGTATATCCAAGCATAAAAACATCTTTGTGTGCTTGAACTACGCTTTATGCTTTAATACTTATGAAAACTAATGAAATCATGTTGGATAGAGATTTTAAAAAAGAGCTGTGTGTGTGTGTGTGTTTATCTGTGAGTTTCCTTCACCTGATGACCTCCTCACCACCAAAAACAAATCTTCAAAGTCTGAATGCGGGTCACCGTAGATGTGCGTTGCATCGATTGACTATTTCTGTTCTCCTGCTGTCTCAAAAAGCTGGCACACATTCAGACGGCTTCGCTCAGAGAGGAGCGAATCACTTTCCTCGAACCCTCCTGGTCGCTTCTAAGACAAAAGAACCACTAGGAACTGAACTGGGATTATGGGTCACCCATGAAAAGTAGAGTGGGCGGTTTTGACACAGGTATTCTTAAGAGACTATTCAAAATGAAATCGTCAATCATTTAATCACCTCATGTTGTTCCAAACCCATATAAATTTCGTTTTTCTGTGGAAAAAAAAGAATATGTTTGGTAGAACATTCATGAATGGTTTTTATTTATTACATGGCTTCTACACTATATTTAAAGTTTTTTAAAGTGTGTTTTCTATATAAATAAACTCTTCCAATAAGTAGAGCACATCTAGACAGATATTACAGGTAGAACTAACGATCCTTGTGTAACAAGTGATCCACTTACTGCATAATTACTAAACATTACCCAAGATCATCTGCTCATAATCATGCTGGATTTAAGACTTTAAGCCTTCTTAAACCTCGTTAAACTCAGATTGAACTCAACACAAGTTCAAAACTTTTTCATAAAGAAACACAACAGTTAAATACTGACAAACAGAGTTAGAAAGGTGTTCAACAGCATCTGCTGAACTCGAACCAGCTCATGGATTGATTTTGGCTTCCAGTTTACATACTATCTGGTGTAAATAGTACGAAAGTTTACAATTATAGTGTCTCAAATCATGGTACATTGAAAACGATCCTTAAAGTGTGTATGCATGGATGCTATTGGTGCTAATTATGACTAAAAAAAAAACATATGACATGGAATATTCCTTTAAATGTCTGACTACTTTATCAGTAGCAAAAACACCAAAAAATATGAAAAATAATAATTGTTTTCAAACAGGTTTTCCCAAACACTCCTCAGCTCATGTCTGACTTCCACTAGATAGCCCCGCCCCCAAAATTACTCCATTGGTTAATTCAGAAGTTGTCACTCAAACAAACAGATCAATGTTGTGTTGCCAATTTGGGAATTTTAGTCACCAAATTTAGCGACTTTCTCATTGTTGCTGTGACTTTTTTTTAAATGTTTTTCAATAAGAAGCTATTTCGGTGATATTTACATATATTTGGCGATTGGTGTGTGTGGTTTTTTTTTTGTGATTAAACAAACAAAACAAAAAATAAGGCAGACATTGTCATTTGTAACATTTTCTCTGTTCTTTAGTTATTTCACATGTAAATATAGCTAAAATCACAGCACAGACAGTGATTTTGTCAGATAACGTCTTGTTTATGAATCCAGATTTTAGCATGGCAAAGCAGCAGATTGAAACTACATAATTCTTAGGGACCGTTCACAGTAAATGCGTTTTTCCATTCCAATGTGCTACTTTTCCATTGTTTTCAATGGAGTTGAAAGAATTTGAACGTTCACATGCAGCACCGCTCATCAATGTCAGTTCCAAAACAGTGGACCAATCAGAAGACCCTGGAGGCGGGGCAAGCGTTGCAAGCGTTTGTCTACGGAAGCAAGTAGGCATGGCAACCATTTTTTTCTAAAAGCAACTTGGCGGAGGAAGCATTCTGCACTGAATCATTCCTGAGCACTGTGCCTCACGTTTTTAGACGCAAAGACGTGTTCTGTGTGAACAGCCCCTTAGGATTTTTATTGGGACTTTAGCTGTAAGAATAGACTGTATAAAAAGATTATGAATGCAAAGGGATGATTCGACATGATGGTGTCATGAATATGCTAATTAGCGCATGACATCATCTAGCGACTTTTCAAGCATTCTTTAGCTACTTTTCATTAAAGCAATTGTCAACACTGCAACAATGTCACAGTGTTTCATTTTTCACGACTTAAACAACCAGTGAATGATTTATAGCAAGGGACACCAGACTCGGTTCTGGAGGGCCGGTGCCCTGCAGAGTTTAGCTCCAACCCTAATTAAACATGCCTGAACCAGCTAATCAAGCTCTTACTAGGCATACAGGCAGGTGGGTTGAGGCAAGTTGGAGCTAAACTCTGCAGGACACCGGCCCTCCAGGATCAAGTTTGGTGACCCCTGATTTATAGCAATCCTAAATATTAAACTGACACCACAAACTATCCGAACAGACACAGACAGACGAAAGCAGGACATTATTGTGTGCGTGTTGCTCTGGGCAGAGGTGTTGCTCATGTAAACTGCTTCACGGAGAGCCGATCTGTGTCTAAACATGTTATGAAATGCCTTCATTCCTTGGTCTGGTACGCACAGTATGGAAAAAAGATCACACACACTCCTAAAATCACGCTACGTCTATTGTTCTTTAGGTTCAGGAGAACCTTCTTCATATCAAGAACGATTTTTGGCTCTGATGCAGATGTTTGGAAATGAATAATGTCCTTGGTTCTTCAGATCAGCACCAGATCAGATGATTTCCAAAGAACTAGAAAAAAAAGTGAACCTACAAAGTATGGAAGATTCTTCCATGGCAGCAGACTGATAAAAACATGTGCATGATGCAGTTCAGCAGCGGGATGTGTATGTGAGTGTGTTTACCATCTGGTTTTGAGGAGCTTTATCGTCATATTTATATATATCTCTCTCTCCTTATCAGTTCGTCATCATCGCTCATTATCTCGCCCTCTAAATGAACCATGACGTCAGCCTCCGTATGAAGGTCGTGACCCCTCATTCCCGCTGACACACTGGGATTCCCTGAACTGACAAAGAAGTACACAAATGTGTTGAGCTACACAAATTCAGTATCACACAACATGTTTCATAATAAGAAGTTCTTGCCTTTAGCACTATAATAACTAATGCAATCCTCAGATAACTACACCCTATTATTCACACGTCATGTGGCCTGTGTGTCTTGTTAAATTCACTGGAGGTTTGCTGCAGTTTATGACATTAAACTTCAGACTGATGCTTTTTAATGTCCATAAATCTAGTTCAGACACCTTCTGACGACACTTACCAGAATGAACGGATGATTCCTCAGACTGGAATGATCACCTGTCAAAAACAGATCTCGATCAATTATTCTTCATGCTGCACTCAGACAGACAGATTGTTCCAAACCCTTGGGAGATGTGTAGATAAATGGGAGGGTAAAAAAAAACAAGGTCTTGGAACGCGAGAACTTATTTTAATTTGACCAACACAATTTTAGAGTTCTGTGTCATGAGCGAAACTGCAAAAGACGTGTGATCAACCGTCAAAGACGTCCGTATAGCGCAGGTTTACACAGACAAACAAATGGAGAAACAGCGTAGTGGAACGCAAAAACGTGAGACAAGGCAGTGGAACAAAAAATGCAAAGTCTAGAACCGCGGTTTTTTTAAGTTTAATTTTTTATTATTATTTTTTTTAAAGTTTACGTTTTTTTAACTTGAGTGCTGCGTTTTTAGAACGCATAGGCGAGGCGCGGCAAAAGACGCAAGCGCAACGATTGAAGACGTCTGCCTAGCACGTGTTTACATAGAAAAAAATGAATGGAAGAGCAGCGCTGTTGAACTCAAACCTTGTTCCGTGTGAACATTTTTGTGTTTTAAAAAAAATGCTCTAGTGGAATGGAAACATGCAAGAGATGCGTTTTTTAAAAGTTTACCTTTTTTTTTTTTTTAACTTGAGCACTGTGTTTTTAGTTTGCATGCGCAAGGTGCTGCAAAAGACGAGGGGCCACATTTATAAAGTGTGCTTATGCAAAGATTTGATCTTAGAGTGTGTGTGCGCTTAAATCCACGCCAACGCTCATATTTATGAAAACTGCCTTTGATGTGGAAAAGTGCTTAGCATCACGTCAGGGTCTGAGCAGACATACACACTTTTTCTTGTCAGAGTAGAATACTGCAGGTTTTGGGAAATGTTCTTGCAGCTCACTGTTCTAAATTAAAGCTGCAGTCCGTAAGTTTTGCCTCTTTGTCACCATCTCTGTTTGAAAACCTGCAATTGCGGCTAAAGTAAGGCAATAGTTTTGAAAACTGGCTGGTTATGTACTTGCTCAAATATTGATTTCGGACCATTTTTAACCAAAAAAAGTTACGGACTGCAGCTTTAAAGAATTTGGACGATGACTGGTGATCTTTTTATGTTAATGACAATAACTAGGAATCGTTTACAAGGCAAAGAGCTGAAACCATTCCGTTTCCACCAAAAATGAATTGCGACTTTTTATGTCACTTTTTTCTCGCAATTCTGCATTTTTCTTCTCGCAATTATGAGTTAATATCACAGTTCTTACTTTTTTCTCTCAATTGCAAGATAAAAAGTCAGGATTGCGCAAAAAAAAAATTGCAAGTTTATATCTTGCAGTTCTGATATTTTTTCTCAGGAATGTGAGAAATAAACTGGCAATTATGCATAAAAACTCAGAATTGTGAGAAAAAGTTGCAATTACCTTTTTTTTTAACCGTTTTTGTTATTATTTTAACCCTGTGGCGAAAACAGACTTCCAAAATAACATCCGTCTAGCGAGTGTTTATAGAAAAATAAGTGGGAAAGCAGTGCAGTGGAGCACAAAAAATGTTACTTGCGCATGTCTCTTTCAGCATCTGGCACATGCGTTCGTATGCCTTAATTTAAAAGAAGTTCATCTTTTGAAAAACCTTGTGTTTTTTTTTTCCATTCTACTGCCCTGTGTCCTACAAATATGCTTCAAATCTCCAATAAAATAAGGTTTGTAAGGCAAGTTCCTCCGGAGCTAAGACACCCAACGGACAGGTGAAAAGGTTAATTACAAATACATTTTATTGATTAAAAATAGATTGATGAGGTTAAAAGTGGACTATTTTGCACAGAAATAGCTGGTGAGATAGACATTACTCATCATTAACAGGCTGTTAATTGCTCCATTTGTGTGGTCACGACAGGTCAGTGTCTAACAATCTTACAAACGCTCTTCTGTGTGTGAGTTTCAGTGAAGCGTTGGCTCTTTGGACCTCTCTAACCCTCCGTCTGTCTGGTTGGCTGCCGGCCCTTGTTTTTCTGCTGACTGCTGGTTCGGTGTCCAGCGCTCTTCAACGCCTCTCCAGCAAACATCTTGTGTTTTTCTGCTGACGCAGAGACACGGTCGAGTCTGAGGGGAGACCTGCGATTGTCTGCGCTCGCTGACCCCTGATTGGCCCTGACACCAGAGGTGAACGTGAGTCACCGTCATCACGAGACACGGTCGAGTCTGAGGGGAGACCTGCGATTGTCTGCGCTCACTGACCCCTGATTGGCCCTGACACCAGAGGTGAACGTGAGTCACCGTCATCATGTGACCAACGGGACGCCTGTTCTCTTGACGAACACAGACACAATACAGCGGTTGTTTAAAGATGAAGTCACTAGCACCTTGAGGAATATGATATTTACAGCTAAGAACTGAGTATTTTAGAGACAAAATACACTAATGTTTTTTCTTTTTTGAAAGAAATTAATACTTTTATTCTGCAAGGACACATTGATCAAAAGTGACATAATGTTACAAAAGATTTCTGTTTCAAATAAATGCCGTTCTTTTGAACTTTCCATTCATCAAAGAATCCTAACAATCTAAATGTATCATGGTTTCCACATAAATATAAACTGGTTTCAACATTGATAATAATCAGACGTTTCTTGAGCAGCAAATCAGTATATTAGAATGATTTCTGAAGGATCATGTGACACTGAAGACTGGAGTAATGATGCTGAAAATTCAGCTTTGATCACAGAAATAAGTTACAGTTTACAATATAACAGTTATTTTAAATTGTAATAATATGTCATTGTTTTTACTGTACTTTTAATCAAATGAATGCAACCTTGGTAAAAAGAAGAGACTCCTTTCATTAAAGCATTCAAAAGTACTGACCCCAATTGGATTTTGGTGTTATCTGTTACCTTGACAGGCTTTGTGAGTTTCAATAGTTACATTGAGCAAATTAAAAGTATTGCTGCATATATATTTGGATATTTAGGAAAGGGTATTTAGTGATGAGAGTTTTCTCAAGTGTGTTTTGAACATCATTTTGCATCGGCTCACAAACACACACACACACACACACACACACACATATTATACAGTCTCTCTGTCTCACTCTCTTACCGTAAATGTGATCTGGCCTCAGGCAGATCTCTCTCACACGGAGGATCAGCTTACATTATTTTTACTGGCTCGTATCCATGTCAACCTAAACACACACACACATAGACACACATAAACACACACAGACGATTGATAGTGGTTATTACCGACTATAATCAACAGTAATAAAATGCATTTCTAAAGTATACAGGAACATGTGTTTTTGTGTAAAAATGATGGAAATTAGGGCCAAAGAAGGCTTTTTTTTTTTTTTTTGGCAGAATGAGATCCACTGCCCTTCATCTGAATAAAACAACCATTCAGCCAGAGAACTGCATGTACCAACCACCCGCGATCCAGGTAAACAACAACAGCACACTGACCTTGGCCTCATAAAACACACACACACACACACACACACACACAGGTTCATCCATTTGTGTGGGATTTTTCATGATGCTTCTGCCTCTGCTGTGCCAGCGTCCTCATGGTAAATGATTTTTAAATTATTTAAAATATTGATGAATAATAGAATTATTAATACTAAATGTTTATTTATTTATATCAATGATTATAAATATTAATAAAAGTTTTTTTAAATACCCACACACACACACACACACACACACACACACACACACACGCTGCCCGCTCCATCAGTGTTACCTTAAAACATCCAACCGCCCCTGCAAAAGTACCACAATTCACGTCAATGTCACAACAGCCTGACAAAGCCACACACTTCTCCAGAAACACACTAAAATTAAACACAGCAACACTGAACGCAGAAATCAGTCTGTGGACTTAGAACGGCTCTTTATAAAGAAATCTGGCTGTTTGACTTTGATTTTCAAAACACTGTGTGGTTTAACTGCACCACACTGAGCAAAAACACTGCATATTACAATAGAAATGTATATAAAATGTAAAATAATTGTCATTAATAATATTTATTATCTTAATAATATTTATTTAGATAATATTATCAGTGTTTTACATAAATACTCTTTATAAAATCCAATGTTATATTTAATCATTTATTACAAGATCATAAATACATTGTATAAAATGCTATTTTATATTTAACAAAAACTTATTTTTAGAATTTCCTTCTGATAAACCTGTGTGTGATCATTTCAAGGTCAGCCGTTGTCTCCAAAGTAAACCAGTCACTCTCTCTGGATCACAATTGCTTTAATAAAGCAGCTGTATCAGTTTAACCTGATCTCACGAAGCTCTCAGGACAGACGGGACAGGTTACATTGACTCTCGAGCTGCTTTCAGGTGAGTGGAAATGAAGCCTCGCTGAACACACAGCAGCACAGGTGCGGAGCGCGATGTCAGCCGAGCGTCTCTGAACTACCTGAGAAGACCAAAACGATCAAATGTCACTCTGATTCATGCAATGTATACTGCCCTTGCTGTTTAATATGACTTTCCTACATCAAACAAACTCAAAAGGCCTTAAAGCAACTGACTCGGACTCCATTTCTGTCTGTGAAAACATGATATTCCCTCAAAGTGACTAGAGTACAAACAACACGCTGCTAAATTTACTGACTGACCTTGTTTACATTATTTACATACTCAAGAATCATTAATGGCTCAAGTTAAATGTATAATTATGGAGCATCATTATATAACAACAGTATCATAGCATCACTATTCTATATCTGTAAAGCTCTAGAGCCGCAGTGGTTTGTGAAACAAAGCCTCTAATTTGACTGCAGAACCTGAATTTTGAGTCTCAATATCCAAACGATGAATAACCTATTGACCTGGTTTAGGCGTTTAAACTAATTATTGACTATTATTATACTATTAAAAAAGCATTTTCTGTATGTTTATTTCTATTTGGGATTCAGTAGGTGTTATGTTGTCATTGTGTGTGGATTTCTGTACTGTTCGCTTGTTTAGCAGGTGTTTCTCGTGCCTCTGCGAGGCAGTCCAGATAAAGTGGGCGGGGCAACTCGCGCTCCCTCTGAGAGGAACTCCACGTCACGATGCCCATATTTGGACTGTACACTTCCTATAGGAAGCGGGTGTCTGAGGGTCCCCGACGAGCAGAGATTTACAGCGGCAGTGAATGTTTGCAGTCTGTCTCTTTTACTAATTTGCGCATTCAGCAAGTCGAGAATTAACAGCTAGATTATGATCTTCAAATCTGTTACGTAATCTGACGTTTTCTAGACACTTTAGTAGACAGAAAAAACATCATAAAACGAATAGGAGATATCCTAAAATAAACTACATTTGCTTTGATAGAAAATCATTTTCATAATAATGTCATTTTATCTGTTAGCTACATCTTGTGTTTATGCTAACTCGTCCGCGCATCAAAATCACATTAACCACTAAAACAACAATAAAGAACTTAAAAATACACCAACAGAAAGTCCAGCTATAAGCCTACCTGATAAATCCAATGTTAGAGGCCCTTTCTTTTAGCAGAAAGGATATCAGACTAGGTATATTAGAATATATTCCTAAACCGTTTATTCACTGGTGCGCGCTTCACCCTCGGGCTTGTTTACTTGTTTACTGGCCCAGCAGTTCCCGACAATGACGTCCTGACGCGTGTGACGTGGCGCAGGTGGGGCGTGGCCAGCTGTCAGTGCGGGAGCGCTTATAAAAACGAATCGGGATACCGATCCACACGAACAAGCGCAACAGAGCAAATCAAACGAGCATCGTTCACAAAGAGTGTTCACTTTCAACAGACGGGCTCTTTGAACTATTCGCGGCTCGAGAGCGTTTCTTTGCTGCTGTCGCGTTATTCTTTACATCTTTGAGACTCCGGTTCATTCAAGAGGAGCATCAATACAGAGTGGAACGGGACGGAACGCCGTTTTATTGACTGTCATCCTCCTTCGCGCGGTTTCTGAACGCTTTTACACTTGAAATAAAGTGGACGTTGAACTGTCAGCCACATTAGGTGAGAAGCCTATATCTTCTTTTTATTCCAGAAGAACTCTATGACTACAAAAATGGAGCAGCCGTTTTATCACGACGACTCGTTTCTGTTGGGTTACGGTCACAACGACGCGGCACTACACGAATATAAACTCCAGAAACAGAGCATGAACTTAAACCTGACCGAGCCCTATCGGAACCTCAAATCGGATCTGTATCAGACCAGCAGCGCCGATATGGGCTCGCTCAAACTCGCCTCGCCGGAGCTGGAGAGGCTCATCATCCAGAACAGCAACGGGGTTTTGACGACGCCCACCCCGGGTCAGTATCTCTACGGTCGGGGGATCACCGACGAGCAGGAGGGCTTCGCGGAGGGCTTCGTCAAGGCTCTGGATGATCTTCACAAGATGAACCAGATGCCCCCGCCCAACGTGTCGATTGGAGCCGGCGGCGTGACGACGTGCTCGACGACTGCGTCCGTTTTTGGCTCCTCCCTGCAGCCTGAGCCTCCCATTTACACGACGCTGAACGCGTACTGCCCAGCGCCCAGCTACCCGTCCAGCACCATCAGCTACCTACCGCCGCACGTACAGCAGAGCCAACACCCGGAAAACGCGTACGCGTTCCAGCACTCCGGCGTCCTCCCGCAGCGCTTCGTGCCTTTAAAAGAGGAGCCCCAGACCGTTCCCGACATGCACAGCAGCGACGGCTCGCCACCCATGTCTCCGATCGACATGGAGAACCAGGAACGCATCAAGGCGGAACGCAAGAAACTCCGGAACCGACAGGCGGCCACAAAATGCCGCCGGCGCAAGCTGGAACGCATCGCGCGGCTGGAGGAGAAAGTGAAGGTGCTCAAGTCCGACAACGCCGGGCTGTCCAGCACAGCCTCCGTCCTGCGGGACCAGGTGGCCCAACTCAAACAGAAGGTCCTGAGGCACATGAACAGCGGCTGTCAGCTGATGTTGACCAGTAAGATGGAAGCGTTTTAAACGCGGCCGGACTTTTACGCAGAAATAACACTGGAAATCGTTTATGTTCAACGACTGAACGGAACTCAAAAGCCCTCAAATGAGGCGTTTTGGACACGTTCTGGGTTCCGAATAAAACGAGCGAACCCGCGAACGGAGCGGGAGAGAACGGACTCTGAGCCCCCAGAGACCGACAGGAGCCAAGAGCGAAGTGGAAAGGCCAGTCGCCGCCTCAGTATCAATAATGTTTTTTTGTCATGATCAACTGTGTATTTGATCATGTGAACGCATCTGATATTGTCGTGCAGTTCCTGAACTCATAAGTTATTGTACTACTAGTCAGGTTGATCCTGACACTATATGTTAACGATGTCACATGTTTACGATGTATTTGTTTTTATGTGTGCGATGTTTATTTAAGTAAAGATTTTGAAATATAACTTCTGAGTGTATGGCTGTTCATTTGTGTTGTTTATATCTAGTTTTCAGACAGTTATGTAACTCTTATGTTGACCGTTCCTCGAAGTACTCACCCATAAAACGTTCTGAAAACACGAACAAAGAGACAGGTTTTAATAAATATTTATTATGACGTTAATGAGCACTGCTTGTAGAGTAATCAGCTGTTTTCTGGGGGTTGTGAATTGATTAGCCCTCCTGCGTTTTGGCGTTCACACAAAGGGACTCTAGGCCTCTCCTGCTGACGTCAAGCAGCACATCCATATATGGTCGTTTTTGGGCCTCGTACGTCACTCCCCGCCCACAGGCCCCGGTGGAGTAGTTTCACCGCTCCAGGATCAGCGGGGCTGGAGAGCAGAGAGGGGCTTTCCGAAGTTGGACAAGACCACTGTGCGCATGTGGGGTGGGGTGTGTGTGTGTGTTTCCATAGAGCTTAGTGGGTTGAACGGTTACAATGATTCTGCTGCTAATGATCGAAACTTATCTTTCAGAATATATCCAGAAACCTTTGATATAATAGAATATAAATAATAAATATATATAGTAACACACACACACATATATATATATATATATATATATACATACATTCAAACCAAAAATTGTTCAGACACCAGATATAATTTTTGATATCTTTTTACTAGTGGGTGCAGGACACTACAGTTCATTTATGTAGGCTAAGTGAGGATAGCAAAATAAAGTGAACTCTGACATATTATACCCAGAAATTCTTCATACAGGACTATCAGTAAAATTGATAAAAAATGTGGGACCAAAAAATATTCAGACACTTTGACCTGAGCATCAATTATCTAATTGTGTACTTAAATTTAACAGCTGACAACTATTCGACCGAATTCATTACATACCTTTCTATCAAAGTTATCTAACATTATCAAGATGAATTTGTTCTGACACAGTTTAACTCTGAGTTCTTGTCATATTTTATTACCGTTTTCTAAACTATAGCAAATAAACTGTGATAATGTAAGAACTGTTGAAGTTGTCTGAAAAATGTTTGGTTTGACTGTATATATATACATACACACACACACACACACACACACACAAAATAAATAGTATGGTACAATAAATTGTCTGTATAATCTAAAGTACTGAAATGTAATAATATTTGACTATTATTATTAGTAGGCTAGTTCAAATCGCGTCTAATATAACCATGCAAAAAATAAATAAATAAAAAACATTGATTAACTTTATGCAGAGATATAACAGGTCAAAAAGAGGTCAGGGACAAAAAATACATCTTCAACATCAGGTATGAGGTTTATTTTTAGTTAAATGATATGTAAAGAGATCAGATTCAGTAAGTCTGAATTTCAATGCATTTATTTATTTATTTATTTATTCAGCCGACTGTTACTTGGAGTTTAGTCTAATTATAACGGAAGACTGAATCAAACTGTGTGGTTATAAAGAGATCTATAAAGAGAACACGTCTGTTGCTGGAATGAAGAGCATTTTCCTGAGATGTTGATTTATGACAGACAGTTTAAAAATTTGTCCGACTTAAATGACAATTACAAAATATTATCATATTTCCATAAGACTGTCACTAAATTAATATCAGACATTTTTGAAGACCAAGGAGAGGGGGTGGTCATGGTGAAACATCCAAACATTTCGTATCTCTGAAAAGCCCTGAATGTGCTCTGTACAGGACATCCAGACTGTGACATGTATAGTCTCAAGAGAAATTCACTAAAATATAATGTCCTCATATGAGAATGCAGGGTCTCAGGAGGTTAATTACCTCAATAACAGATCTAAAATAATATGTTTTAGGACGTACTGTGATAGTTTTAGAAATGTTATGAACATAAAAAAATCATCTACTAGCATCAACGGGTCCTAACTACGCCAAAAACCGAAGCAGGCTCTGAAACGTGTGGGACGTTTGTTTTTGTGCAGCTCGCTGGAAAATGGGAGCGGGGTTTTTTACACGGTGAGAAAAGCCCACTCGGGTCCACCTGTCACTGGCGTCAGTGATGTCCCCCACCTGCGTGTTTTTCTGCTCGCTCTCGACTCGAGCTGGAAATCAAAGCAAGCCACTTCAAAGCGCTGGAAGCAGGCCCGCGCATGCGCACACGCGCTCGGCTTGTTTTGGAGATTTTAAAGGTGCAGCTCACCGTTAATCGTTTCATCTGACACATCAACAGCTCTTTAGTTTCGTAAGTGTTTCTTATGGAACATTACCACCTCCTCTCTCATTTAAATGGACTTGTTCCATTCTAATGTTTGCTGACGTTTACACGAGGTTCAGCAAATAACCCAGTTTATCCACTTATTGCAAGCGGAATAAGTTATTTTCGCCAAATGTACGAGACTTGGCCGCTATAGGTAGTAAATAACTATCAGAATAACAATGGGCAGTAAACGGTAAAACGGTGTGTTTACGATAATAAAATAATATATCAATTAGTTTGCAATATAATGGACTGTTCTTTACACTAAATTACTTGAAGAGACTGGAACAACCTTTTCAGTTTACAACCCTTATGAAACTCTAGTTTTATTATAGTAAAAGTGTGGGCCTTTTTTAAATACATTTTTTATATTACGGTATTTATTACCATTTGTTTAACCACGGTTTTACAACGAATACCATGGTTAAACTATGGTTAGTCTAGAATTGTTATAAGGGAAATGGCCGATGCTCTAACCTAATAATAAGGATAATAGGCTACATTTTTGGCTATAGAGTTTTTGAGTAGCCTATGTGATTCTTTAAATTTGAGAAAGTTATAGATTCTTCAGTTCAGTGTTTTGACTTCACCAGCATACGAGTTCCTAAAGACCTTTAAAAGACGCTCTTATGGCAGTTTATTTTTAACTATTTATTTTTGTATGAGTTAACCTGAAACTGTTTCTTTTCTCATATTGAAGGTGAGTTTAGTTATTCTGGTTTTACGTTTCTCTCTCGTTTCCCTTTTTCAGTTTAATTGACACGAGAAAGGCTCACAGGCCTGTAAAAGTGCAGCGCTCATGAATGAGTCAAAGCTCATTCAGCAAAGTTTCACAACAGAACCTGTGTGTGTTATTTTTATCCTGCCTTTGTGATGAGCCTGAAAGTTTCAGAGCTTGATGGAACATTTATTCTTCTTACTTCCTCTATTCTACATGTAGTGGACAAGAGAAGCTTTTTAACACCTGACAGACTGTCAGAACGAGTGTCTCATGCACACACACACACACACACACACGGGAGCAACATCAGTGACTGATGACGACAAAATGTGGGCTCATCTCCTCCATCACACAGTTTTTGCACATTTCATCTCTCTTTCTTTCCCACTCACACACTGTAAATCTCTCCTGTGATCTCATGAATATTCCTTCTTGTCCCTTCCAAAACCGATAGATGAACGCTGAGGCTCAAATTGTGACACTTTCCGTCAAACACCCACCGACACGGCTGCTTCAGATCAACCCCGCTGTTACATCATGCTCTCCGGTATCTGCTCAGACTCTCATCGATGCCTCAGATCAGTTTGTTTAACTAATCTGTGGGTCAAAGCAGGAGTCAGATAGAAGCATTTCATTAAAATGAATATTAAATAAATCATACAACAGTTAAATGTGGTCCAGCAATTAGACAATCAGTGTTTCAAGAAAGATAACATTTCCTGTTAAAGCCTGATTCTGCTTTAGGCCTATATATAACAGTAGCTATAATAAAATATGAATACTACGGCTCAATCACAGCTGTGGTGATATTCAGTACACATTATTATTTTTTAATTAGTCAAAAGGTATTACCATGATTTAAATGTTACATATTGTTTATTTTTATAATCATTGCACCTGACCTGCCAGTCTTTTACTGATTTTCCATCTTGATTGATGAGTCGACATCAGTGTTATTAATGTTAACTAAAGCTAAAATGATTAGAAATCAATTCAGTAACTAACAAAAATCCATGCAAAAAAGGTTACTGACTGAAATAAAACTAGTCCCAAGGAGTATTGAAATAGTACACTTACAAGTATACTACTAGTACACTGATATTTGTATACTTACTACATAAAGTATACTTAAAATATACTTGAAGTATACTACTTTTTGGTAAGGGTATGTAACTAACTAAAAGAGATAAACGTAAATTAAGACTATTATGGCTAAGAAATGTTATTAAAAACAAAACAAAATGAATAAAATGACCTAAAAAAAATCTAAAAATAAAAGCTCATTTTAAATATTAATACTAATTGTTTATAAATAATACTCAAATAACAATGGTCGCCATAAAAACCTCTATAGTTTCGTCTCATTTATATCTCATGGGCCGAGTGGGTCAAAAGATGTTAAAGGTCAAACAAACCTCGTTTAAATCAACATGACTTCAGCATAAAAAAAAACAAACAAAAAAAAACTGATTCACTTTAAAATAGTTTTATAGCGCCATCTAGTGGTACACGTGCCATAAAAGTTAAACATGACCTTGAAGAAATGAGGCTAATGATGTTTACTGGAGAATAACTCAGTTCTGCTTCTCATTACACAGTGATAGGAGACAAAATAAGCAGGACGACAGTATGTACTACATACTTTTCTACAAATAGGCCTACATTTATGTATTAAATGTATTATGAGTACTGTTTTAATGTCATGCTGATTAGATAGCCTATATAGCCTAATTTAAGTTCAATAATTTACTGTAAATTTGGCGGTATAAACACTAAATGATAAGACTTCATTACACTGCTTTAAAAAGAACAAACAATTAAAAGAACAAACAAATTCCAATTTTATTTATTCATGAATTAGAGACATGTAAGATCAGAATAGAAACGCATTTGTTTACTTACTGCAGCCACAGAATAGCAGAACATCAGATCGCTCACAGCGGCGCACCGTCGTTTACATAGGCCTACAAACAAAACATGTCCTCGCGCAACCCGCCAAAACAGTCAACTAGGCCTACACTCGTTCTGTAGTCAAACACATTTCACAGTATTCTCTCGTTTTTTTCTTTTCTTTACAGCATTATTTTTATGTAGCCTATATCAGTGTAAATACCGGATCAAATGTTTTCACTAACAAAGTCATTACGCAAAAAATTAACACAACGTACCGACATCACACTCTGTGTAATAGATGATTGTGACGTTACAGATTATGAGATAGTAGAACAGATTATCATGAAATATCACAGTTATAGAAACAATTGACAACAGCAACATTTAAGTTTAAAGCGAGCCAAAAAAATCCCATAATAATGTTATGTGCTTTCATGTAATTACACTGAATAAACAGTTGAAAGCCATTTTATTGACTTAATGTGACGCAATTCCAAGTGAAACAGAATATTCGGTAACACTTTACAATAAGCTCCTTGTTGGCATTATTTATACATTAAAATGTGTGAACATTAGCAAAATATTGTTACACAAAAAACATCCATTATCCATTACCGGTATAGCAGTGTATGAAGTGCAAATAAGTCATTTTCAAAGCAAGAATCTTTCTATTAGTCTTGCCCGGGTTGCCAGGTCTGCATAACAAAACCTGCCCTATTGCTACTCAAAACTCCAATCACGGCCAAAACTAGAACACGTTCGGTCTAATCGCGAAACTGGCTATCAAAATCGATCTAAAACACAACCCATGAGAACAGTGGAAAAAAACAGCGGGAAAACCGCGGACTTGGCAACAGTAGTAAGCGCGGGAACAAATTGAACTCGGTGCAAAATTTGTGTGGGACAATCTTGCCCTGGCTTGACTTTCCTAATCTTGTGGATTCCTATTGAAATGACGTGATACAATTTCATGTTTAATTTATCTTGTTACTTAATTTCTTTGTAGTTGTTAGCCATTTCTTGTTAGCCATTTTCTAGTATGAACTAACACACAATATTTTTATTACAGCATTTATTAATGTTAATATTCATGTCGGTTCACAGAACATTAATGTTAACAGATACTTTTGATTTCAAAACTAATGTTTAAATTAACATTAATTTAAATTAACCAATGATGTAGAAGTATTATCGTTCATTCATGTTTATTAGTGTAGTAAACTAATGTTAACAATGGAAATCTTATTGTAAAGTGTTATTCAGACCTAAATTCAACTTTTGATGTTACCTTAAACAGGTTCAAATAAGCAGAATTTTATGTTACAGAAGTAGCTTTAGTCTAAACAGGATTGTTTTGTTGACTGTGTTAAATAGACAATACTGTAGAAACCTCACTGCATTAGTTTACTGTAAACTCAACTGATAAGATAAAATACTCAATAACAAACATTAGTCAGATCTAGAACACAGCTCTCCTAGAATCCGCTTCCGCTGCCCTCCATGTCGCTGGCGAGTACGGAGCGCTTGCGCAGTACGGCGTTGGCACTGCTCCTCCGAGCCTGTGGCGGCGCTGTGGCGCTGTGCGTCTGAGGCCCTGCGGGAGGGCAGGGGGCTCTGTACTGCGGCAGGCCACTCTTGGTGGTGTCCAGTTCTTCAGGGTCTCCTTCCTGAACCCTCAGAGCGGCGATCACCTCTCGATCAGATGGGCTGAGGGTCAGACAGCCGCAGCTATGGCCTTCAACACCGTCTTCCTCCCCGGGGTCGTCTTCAACTGTCATGAAAGCGTCTCCCCAAAGACTCTCGCAGAGGTCTCGGCCGTGCTGGTACATCTGACCAACAAACACAGATACATGTGAGAGCACAATTCTTTTCAAACTGTAGATCCAACCTGACAGTAGAAGACAGTTCACACTAATGCTGCTATAGTGGCCTCTTGTGGCAATGCTAAGAATGCCGAGCGTAATTGATTTCAATTAAAGGGGTCATATGATGCGATTTCAATTTTTTCTTTCTCTTTGGAGTGTTACAAGCTCTTGGTGCATAAAGAAGATCTGTAAAGTTGCAAAGACTAAAGTCTCAAATCCAAAGAGATATTCTTTATAAAAGTTAAGAGTCAGCCACACCTACATAAAACGGCTCGTTCTGACGCGTTTCAGAAAGGCGGGGCATAGAGGAGAAACAATAATGTACATTATGTGGAAAATAATGTGTTTTTTGAACCTTAAACCGCATAAACACATTTCATTACACCAAATACACCAAATAATGTTCTTTTTAGCAACATCATATGACCCCTTTAAGCATTCTGATGACATAAAATGAAAAAGAAAAGAATAAGGCAAAAAAATGCAATAAATATACCTAAACTATAGAATAATAAACAAACTCAAGTTGAATGGTTTTTCAGACTGCTAAAGACTGTGTTCGTTTATCTAATTTAAATTTAAAATATGATTATATCAGCCAGTGTTCACCTTTAGTTATTAAAAATTAAAACTTTTTCATTAGCTGAAATACAAATACAAAAAAATATAACATTAGACCTACATAAAACGGCTCGTTCTAACACGCCCCCACATGTCTACATATCACATATCTGGGAAAATTTGCATAAAGCTGAAGCTAAAATAAATAAAAAATGAAAACTGAAAATTGCAATTCTATTTTATGAATACCATAACAGTACATAAATAATACTGCTGTTCTCTATATTTCACTATTGTCTATTGTATTGAAAAACAGAAAATTAATTATTCACAACTGCAGACAGTGATAAAATAAAAAGACACTATGAATCTTATTACAGTAAATATTATCATCATTAACAACAATCAGTGTTCAGTCATAAACCAGGAGATAAAGTAAATAAGAAATTAAAAAAGTAATATAAAGCGCACAGATGCAGTTATGAGTCATCTTATGTCCGTGTAGCGTCGAAAATATTGTTTAATGAAGATAAAATATCTCAGATCTTCTGCTAATATTGTCAGTCATTATATTCACACATTAGCGATTCACGCATATTAATGATTCCTGAATGTAGAAACACACATACACACACACTTTCTCTCATTATTAGCTGTGATTTTCACCCCTCAGAACATGTGAAGTGTGTGTGTGTGTATGTGTGTGTGTGTAGTGTGTGTGTGTGTGTGTGTGTGTGTTTCTGCCACTCACACTTGTGCACATGTGATGATTATGTTGATTATGAATTATCACTGTCAGCAGTGTTTCCATAGAGACAGTGATCTTAAATCTTTATTTACTTTCTTAATTCATGTTGCATACTGAATCATTCCTTTGTGATGTTATTCTGAAGAAACAAAATGTTTGACTTCATGATCTTTCATCAAAATCATAACTTCACCTCCTCATTCATCATCAGTGAATGGCAGAAAAGTCCAAGTAAAGTTAAAAATCATGTTGGGATCATTCACAGATTAAAACAGTCTAGCTGGCAGGTTGCATTTTGTTTTGTTTCCAACATTGTTATTGTGACATTGTTTCAACGTCTTACTTTTCAAGTTTTATACATTGATTTATAAGTAATTAGTTTAACATTTTACAATCATTAATACTACATTAAACACTGCTGCAATGTTTTTTCAACATTCAAACAGCAAACAACATTATCTCAACACATCTCAGTGTTGAAACTGTCTGTATGAGAGGCCGGTCACACTGATTCACACGCTCTCTCTTTTCACATGTTCAGCATGTCAGTGGTGAGAAAGAATGACATGAACTGACACCTTCACTCCATGTGTGTGTGTGTGTGTGTGTGGTTCCAGCTGTGTCCAGACCTGGAGACACAGTGTCTCTTCACACACTCTCTCCTGAGCGCTCCTCTCCTCAGTGATGTTTACATCGCTAATACTAGTGCTCATCCAGTCCTGGGTAGTAACTGATTACATGTAATTTGATTTACGTAATCAGATTCCAAAAATTACTTGTAAAAATACTTGTAATTAAAGTATGTTACATTTGAAATGCTCATAATCAAATTACTGTTACTTTTTATGGATTACATGATTACATTGTGTGGTGTGTGTGTGTGTGTGTGTGTGTTTCTGCCACTCACACTTGTGCACATGTGATGATTATGTTGATTATGAATTCTCACTGTCAGCAGTGTTTCCATAGAGACAGTGATCTTAAATCTTTATTTACTTTCTTAATTCATGTTGCATACTGAATCATTCCTTTGTGATGTTATTCTGAAGAAACAAAATGTTTGACTTCATGATCTTTCATCAAAATCATAACTTCACCTCCTCATTCATCATCAGTGAATGGCAGAAAAGTCCAAGTAAAGTTAAAAATCATGTTGGGATCATTCACAGATTAAAACAGTCTAGCTGGCAGGTTGCATTTTGTTTTGTTTCCAACATTGTTATTGTGACATTGTTTCAACGTCTTACTTTTCAAGTTTTATACATTGATTTATAAGTAATTAGTTTAACATTTTACAATCATTAATACTACATTAAACACTGCTGCAATGTTTTTTCAACATTCAAACAGCAAACAACATTATCTCAACACATCTCAGTGTTGAAACTGTCTGTATGAGAGGCCGGTCACACTGATTCACACGCTCTCTCTTTTCACATGTTCAGCATGTCAGTGGTGAGAAAGAATGACATGAACTGACACCTTCACTCCATGTGTGTGTGTGTGTGTGTGTGGTTCCAGCTGTGTCCAGACCTGGAGACACAGTGTCTCTTCACACACTCTCTCCTGAGCGCTCCTCTCCTCAGTGATGTTTACATCGCTAATACTAGTGCTCATCCAGTCCTGGGTAGTAACTGATTACATGTAATTTGATTTACGTAATCAGATTCCAAAAATTACTTGTAAAAATACTTGTAATTAAAGTATGTTACATTTGAAATGCTCATAATCAAATTACTGTTACTTTTTATGGATTACATGATTACATATTATACACACAATAGCAGTAAATAATTAATAATTTACTGATTTATTGATTCTCCCTAATTCTTCATTTTTCTCTTCTAAATTTTCCTTTCTAAAAATCGTCTTTACGGGTGCGGATACACACAGTTTGTGCGTTGTCTGCCTGGGAGCGGAGCATGCTGAGTCAGCTCTTGAGAGCGCTGACTGCCCGCATTGCGAGTGTCTTCCCATGCATGCTCTCCGCTCCCGAAAGGCACTCTTTGCGGAGGGTGCTTTCGCAATCGTTCCCCGCGGCGCGGGTCCCGCTGCTGACCCCTAGAGGACGCAGTTCGAAGTTCCCATGAAAGGGAACCTACTGTGTGTCATACCATTTAGCTTTGACCATATTAACAAATATTGTGTAAATAAATTTGCTTTTGAATTTGAGGGAAAATAGCACATACATTCACGTGTTTATAGTTCTCTGAGGTCGGTTAATGGTCACACTGAGATGCAGGTAAACAGATAAAATATTCCTATTTTTAGTGTTCATGTGGTTAAATTATATTTATTTAAAGGGGTCATATGATGCGATTTCATTTTTTCCTTTCTCTTTGGAGTGTTACAAGCTCTTGGTGCATAAAGAAGATCTGTAAAGTTGTAAAGACTAAAGTCTCAAATCCAAAGAGATATTCTTTATAAAAGTTAAGAGTTAGCCACACCTACCTCAGAGCACACCTCGCTTTTCAGACCGATTAGTTTTGTAAAAATCGACGCGTTTCAAAAAGGCGGGGCATAGAGGAGAAACAATAATGTACAGTATGTGGAAAATAATGTGTTTTTTTTACTTTAAACCGCATAAACACATTGCATTACACCAAATACACAAAATAATGTTCTTTTTAGCAGCATCATATGACCCCTTTAACACTGTTATGATTTAATGAATTATTAGCTTTTTATCAACTCACAAACCCACTGCAGTTCTTATATTAAGCCCAGTTTGGGAAACCTTGGTGTAATGTAATGTTTAATGCATTTTATGATACTGATATAATTTTTTTAAAATATTTTTATTTCTTTTTTTATATCAATATTCTACGTTTAATGGCAAGTTTAAAACAGGTTTGATAAAGAGTAATCTAAAAGTAACCTAAAAAGTAGCCAGATTACATTACCAAAAATGAGTAACCTCGATTACCCTACTAACTACAGTTATCATCATGTAATCTGTAATCAGTAACAGCCTACAATTTGTAAGTAATCTACCCAGCTCTGTGCTCATCAGACCTCAAGCACGCATTGTTAAACTTCAGTCTGACCATCATCCTGCAGCATTTGTGCCCCGGACATAAATAATTCCTTAGAAGCTACGCAACACCCTCGCAACCACCCACGCCCTAGCAACACATAGCAAAGCACCTAAACTCTTCTGAACACCTTAGCAACTGTATAGCAACATCCTGGCAAACATGTACAACACTCTAGTAATACAGCAATGTGGCAAAAATTCATCAGAACACTTTATCAACACACTAAAAAAAAACATTTTACTGCATAGCAACACTCTGGCAACCATCCACAAAACTCTAGGAACACAATGTGCCAAAAAATACTCAGAAAAATACTCATTATCAACCACTAATCAACACACTCTCTCACTCAATTCAAAACACCTTAGCAACTGCATAGCAACACCCTGGTAACCACCCACAACACCTTAGCAATGGCATAGTAGCACTCTTGCAATCTCCAAACAACACACTAGCAACACGGCAAAATTTGCCAAAACATCTTAAAATACCCAATTAACTGCTAATCAACACATTCAAAACACCTTAGCAACCACTTATCAACACACTCGAAACAACTCAAAACACCTAAGCAACCACTTATCAACACACTCAAAACAATGCAAAGCACCTTATTAACCACTTATCAACAGACTCAAAACAATTCAAAACACCTTAGCAACAACTTATCAACACACTCGAAACAACTCAAAACACCTAAGCAACTACTTATCAACACACTCAAAACAATGCAAAGCACCTTATTAACCACTTATCAACACACTCAAAACAATTCAAAACACCTTAGCAACCACTTATCAACACACTCAAAACAACTCAAAACACCTTATTAACCACTTATCAACACACTGAAAACAATTCATAATATATACAACACCTTAACAACTGCATATCAACATCCTAGCCACCCACAACACTCTTGCAAAACAGTAAAATGTAAAAAATACTACTCAAAACACCTTATCAACACACTGTAAATATTTCAAAACATAAGTAACTGCATAACAGCATGCTGGTGACCACCCACAACACCCTAGCAACTGCATAGCAACACAATTGCACCTGCAACACAGCAAAGTGCCAAAAAACTACTCAAAACACCTTAGCAACAACTTGGCACTCACACCCACAACAACCTTGCAATACGACACAATGTGTTAAAAAATACTTATAACACCTTAGCAACCTCTTGTCAACAATCAAAACACCATAGCAAACACTAAGCAACACATTGACAACCACCCACAACACCCTAGCAATAGCAATGTGATAAAAACTCCTCAGTTTTTATCAACAATCAGACCACCTTAGCAACTGCTAAGCAACACCCAAAACACCCTGGCAACACAGCAGTGTGGCTAAAACACATCAAAACACCTTAGCAACCACTTATCAACAACCAGAACACCTTCTTAACTGCATAGCAACACCTGGCAACATCTAACACATAGCAATGTGTCAAAAATGACTCAGAACACCTTAGCAACCACTTATCAACAATCAGAACACCTTAGCAACTACTTCACAACATCTGGCAAACACCTAACACACAGCAAAGTGCCAAAAAATAAAACTACTCAGAACGCCTTAGTGACCACTTAGCAACACACTCAAAATATATATAAAAATAAACCTTTTGCAACTGCATAGCAGCACTCTGGGAACCACCCACAACACCCTTATCATACAGCAATGTGGCAAATACTCCTCAGAACACCTTTGCAATTGTATAGCAACACCCTGGCAACACCACTGTGGCAATGGGGTTTGCACAGATGAATATCACTCACATTTTCTTTATACTGTGAAGCTCCAGTACACTGTAAAACCTGGTAAGTTAAGAATACTCAAAACATTTGTGGAAACGTATTGCCTCAAAATATTTGAGTAAACGAACTAAATTTTTTTAAGTTAGTAGAGCTTAAAATTTTTATGACAAGTGGGGCGGGGCTGAGAGCCATGGGAGCCAAGCCAAGCCAAGCCTCCCTTCCATGATCCCACCCCACTCATCACAACAATAATTATATATAACTTGCTTCCATTAACAGCACATTCATTCAGATCTTTATAGTTAAGTGCTAGATAGCAAATGTAGTTATCAAAAAGACTCACAATACTTGCATGTAAATAGTCAAACAACATGCAGCATAAAGAATCTTTAATTTTTGTTGTCCATCCTCCACCTAACCACAGGCTCTACTCTTCACCACAACGGTAACACTACAAAACCAACATAACAGAAACCTATGTAAATCCTAACATAACACAACATTTAAGTACTAACTTATGTCTCTCTATGTTAATCTTGTGTAAAAACACACAAAATAAAACTTAATTTCTACATTTATTTTCCTTGTTGTCTGATGCAAAGCATGCTGGGAACTAGAAAACGCAATAATTTTAAGTTCACCTTACTACAACAACATTTTAAATTTACAGAACTTATTTCAATTAAGTTCAATTAACTTTCATTATTATTTGAGTGAAGTTAACTCATTTCATTTAATTAATTTCACTGTTCGGTTTTACAGTGTAGTTTGTGTGGTTAAGCTATATCATGTTTGGTATGGCAGGTTACCTGTTTGTACGGCACACAGCCGCCGCTGCAGTTCTGTCCGCGTGGGTCAGTGGACCAGTCCCGAGCACATGTCATGTCCATTTTACAGGCCTCGTACCTGCAACAGTGACTCACGTCATCAGAGTCGTCTACATTACCAACAGCTAAACTGATAATTGATGAAGAACATTTTGATGCATTCAGCTCATTACTGTCAATCAAAGCTGGTATCACACAAGCTTATGACCACGAAATGAGTGGGCGTGGCCTCACCAATCTCTGCAGAAACTGTGACACAGAGGCACTGCCTTCAGGGAGGAGTCATGATGTGGGTGTGGCCAGCGAGCAGCATCAGGAGAACAGCGGTAAAAACAGACGACGCGCTTCAGGAAGGACTCACAGCTACAGAGAGAGAGAAAGAATGGCAAACAACACATTAAAACAAGAGTTCAGCTCATGTTGTCATATAGTGGACTTCTGAAAGTTGACAAAATTAGCTTTTTAGCGGATATATATAAATTCAATATTCTCAGTCTTTGTTAATACAATACAAACACCTTGAGGAGAACAATAATGAGTATTTATACAAAACTTCACATAAGCAAAAACCACACCCAAACGTAAGCAAAAACCAACCAACAAATAAATGAATAAACAAACATGGAAAAAATAGCCAACTGATATACTAATAAACATACATTATAATAAATAAATAAACATGATTTGAAAATAAAGACATGAAATAAAAATAATGTTATCATAAAAATAACCAAATAACTAAAAAAATCAATCAATAAATAAAGAAACATGGATTTAAAAAATAATAACTAAATATATTAATAAACACACATTAAAATAATAAATAAACAAACAAACATGGATTGAAAATAAATAGACATGAAAAAAAACTAAATATAAAAAATAAAAATAACAAAAATGGATTAAATAAGTAAAATAACTACCTGAATATATAAATAAAAACTTACAAACTTACTTATTGTTTTAATAGGAAATAATCAACATAAGAAAGAAAATTCTGTCTGTTAAATTATTTCATGAACTGTTTAAATCACCCTTTATAATAATAAATACAAACTTTGTTTTATTCAAGACAAATATGATATAAATGAAATAAAGCGGCTGTTAAAGTGACCAACAGTGGTATTTTAATCAATGATATTGTGATTGAATCAATCAATTTTCATACTTTGTTTAGGATTTAAACCTTAGTATACATAATGAATCATAATCAGCAGATGCTTACAGAGGGCTGAGGACACCACACTTATCCCAGTGAGAGCTGTCCACGCCGGACACAGAGCCGGACAGATCCTGGACATCCTTCTCTGAACAACACGAGTCTGGACAGAGACACAAGCATTCACAAACTGGGACAAAACTACAATCCATGGAGGCCCAATTCTACTGGGCTGCTTTAAAATGTGACTCTAAATGAACTGGTCTTGACTGTGTGTTTGTAAGGTGACTGTGAAGTGTGCACACACTCTCCATGTAGAGCGAACACTGCTTGAGATGAGGCTCTGGGCTGGGCGTGGCTTTGTGCCTCCCGTCCCGCAGACACGCCCCCTCGTGACTCATCACAGCGGCGGCCAATAGACTCGTAAGGTGGGCGAGGCCGAGCAGAACTTTGGACACGCCCATTTTCACCTGCGTTTATCTTTCAGCTGCGAGAAATAATCCGGGAGGAGAAACACTTGAACTTCCATCAACAGACGTTATGATGCTATATAACACTTCAGAACATGTACATTCACAGCATGAAACTTTGATTCATATTTGCATTTATATTCTGCTTCATAATGACTTACTCATGAAACTGACTATACAACTGAATTTATGTAAACAGATGAGTTAAACATGGAGAGCTCAGGTTATTTGATGTGTTTATATATATATATCTCTCTCTAAAAATCCTCAAGCAATTTTACAGGAATTTCTGTCATAATACTGTCATGATTTGGAATCAGTTCTAATGGAATCAAATGAGAATCTTCCAAGTTCCACAAATCACATAATTCCTGCTGGATAAACAGAAAATATATTTCTGAAAATATAGACTGAAAATTAAGAATTAGTTTATGCAGCAGAATCTTGTCCGATTCTCAGACGAGTCTTCTCGTTCTTTCTTTAGGATTGTAATAAGCATGAAATAAATAAAATAAAATAAAATCCTGCTGGATAAACTGAAATTCTGAAAATATTAAAAGTAAGAATTTGTTTATTTAGCATGATCTTATTTGATTTTTCTAGGAGTTTTGTTCCTTTAAGATTATACACTAAAACATTTTTTAGAGTGTAATAATCATTCATTAATAATTAAAATTAATGAATCCATCAGTCTATAAACACTGCACATGAGTTTTAGTTTAGGCCCAGTTTAAATCTTGCTGTTTTGTTTGCTCAGTAAAATACGTCACATCATGATCTACAGAAACTTTCAATTGAGTTTTAATCACCATTACAGTAATGGAAAGGTTCAGTTCAACACGTAAAGTTTGATAAGTTGAATGAATCCTAATAGAAAGCATCATGATAATGAAAATGAAATTTCTAGCTGACTAATTTCAGTCTTCCTGTGCTGCTCATGTTAATGTCCTTAACTGTGTCACACAGTCCAGCCTAAGAGAATGACAGTCACAGACCGATTTACTCCACTACACACAACAAACACCTTATGTCAGAGTTGGCTCTTCCAAAGCACAAATGACTGTTTGTATGTCCATAAAACTGCTTCATACCTGATACTGGAGGCGTGCAGTGGCTGCTGTGAGCGTCGGATGCTCTCGTTCTGATCCACACACTCTTTTCCCGGAGCTGTAGATGAAGGACATCTCGATGACAACGCCCCTCCCTCTCTCGCTCTCTCTGTCTCTCTCTCTCTCTCTCCCACTCACACTCACACACACACACACACACACACACACACACACACACACACACATTTGTCATCAGTTTGATCTTAGTGAGTGTAGTTATCAAAGAAACACAATAAAAGCAATAACGACCTAATATAAACAGAATCAAAACAAAGACACCTTGATAATGCATTCTAATAATAACAATACAGAGGCTTTATTTCATTTGACCTTGTTTCTATATGCTTCTCATTAAGTGCTACTGAGTCACTCTCTGCACCTGCCGTCTGCGTTTTCTGACATTTTATCTTCCAAAAACCTGTCCCGGTACAGTTGATGACAGTTACTGGAGGTGAATCCAGGGGGAATTAGGATAATCTGGGACAGCGGGTAAATTGGGACGCCTAAGCTTCTTGTCCCATTACAAGCATGTCAACATGAACGTATTCTAGCTGGTTTAAAATCTCATTTGTTCATTTAACTGTTGGAATGAATTGCAAGTGCATAAAATGTACAATTATGCACAGAGAAATGAAATAAATATTACTTTTATGAAATACTACTCAAAGTTCACAAAAACAACATAATGCATATACATTGCAGGGTTATAACATTAAAACTAAAACCATAAAAAAGGTTATTTGGAAGCATATAAACTAAAATATAGAAAAAAACTAAAACTGATTTTATTTCAGCATTTCATTAAATTATAAACTGAAAAATAAAATAAACATTAAGTACACTGAAAAAATATGGTATATTACTTAGAAATTGCTAGTAGCCTATATTTCACAAACAATTACAAAGAAACAGCAACACATTGAACTAAACATGAATTTTGATGTAAAAAATTTCAAAATATTAAAAAGAAACTAATTGTCTCTAACTGGTAACATAATGTGGATGTAAAAGTGTCTAATAATCTCAAAAGCCAGTTGATCTGTTTGTCTGATATATTTGGTTGAATATGACATATTTATAATACTGAAAAGAAGTCATTTGCAGTAAACAGATACTAATCGTGAGAGATGGTATTTTCTCTCAGCAGACGCTGAAGGCTTGTTTTGCTGCTTATTCCGTCTCTAATCTTCCTTCTGGAATAATCCCACCTCCATGCGCTGCTTTAAGACGTTTTTGGCCCCAAACGCAAACACTGTGCCCTAGTTAGAGAGCTGAGAGGATTCAGCCTGAAACACACACAGAGCTGCAGGACGTCACTGAATGCCATTTGAATGCGCTATCGGCACAAGTCATGTATGTTTTCGCTCATGTCATCAGCTGTTTTATGTATTCGAGGCCTGTCAGAGCGATTTACGATGATACAGACGGTTTCATAAGCAGGGGCCGCGGGTCTCCGATCGCTCGAGTGTTTTATTTTGGGTCTGAGGACAGCAGACAGAAGCTATTAGCCTTTGGTCATCTGAGCTGGAATAATAATCCTTTGTGTCAAAGCTATTCATGGATGAGCTGTTGTGTTCATTTGGAGAGGTCACTTACATTACCACGACAGGACCACCGCTAATTGCAGCGCATTTGTTCCACCATTCAGAGCTGGTTTCACTCGGACAGACCGATTAGAGGGGGTTTTCACTGAGACAGCCATATCTTGCCTAGATACATATGGCCTATAATGTGTCAATATCAATCACAAAAACTAGAAGTACTGCTACCATGCTACTGTGGGCATGGTACCATAGTAATACTATGGTATTTTTCAAATGTCTTCGATTATCATCATATACTCTTTAAATACATAAATGGCATATGAACACGGTTATCATTTAGACAGTATTAAAGGGGTCATATGACGTTGCTAAAAAGAACATTATGTTGTGTATTTGGTGTAATGCAATGTTGCATCCAGTGGGGACATAATTACTGATTATAATGACTTAACGAGCCGTTTTAGGAGGGCGTGGACAAGTCTTAACTTTATAAAGAATATCTCTTTGGATTTGAGACTTTAGTCTTTGCAACTTTACAGATCTTCTTTATGCACCAAGAGCTTGTAACACTCCAAAGAGAAAGGAAAAATTGAAATCGCATCATATGACCCCTTTAAGATACGTTTGTTACCATCTGACTGTAACATGGTATTACGCAAAAATATTTTTGTCTTACCAAATTCATAAGAACAACGCAACATATTACAAACAATATATAGCACAAAAAAGATACAAATAGCCTACTACAGAAATTGAATAGGCCTAAATTAGGCCTACATTTTTTATTGTTGTTTTTTTTTCAACTGCTTACACACAAAATCTTTACTTGTCACACAATTTCTGAAACCTGACACTCAAACACCAGAACCACACACCAAATCTGCAAAACCATACACTAATTCTCGGCCTTTGACTCAGTTTTCAATTTCATAAAACACTTATTGCAAAACACAACACACAATTCTCTATGTAACACACACAAATCTAACAGGAATTAATATTATGGCAAATGTGTTTGCAAATGTTTGCTTTTGAGATGTGATATTTTGAATGCAGTGCTTCATTTTGCAAGAGATGTGAGGCAGTTTGCATTTTGTGTGTGCAATTCTTGGATTTGTGTGTGAAATGTTGAAATTTTTTTTGAAAATGTGTGTAAGCAGTTGAAAAAAAACTGTAAAATAAAACACTGTATGAATAAAAATATATATAATGATTCTTATTAAAGCTACAAAAGTCATACAGTCAAGAAAGGCAAGTAATCTATTATCCTTTTTTTTTTTGTTAAACATTAAGTGCAGACAGTCACAGGTGAATTAAGCTACTGTCACTTTAAGAACTAATGCGGATCCAATATATTGATCCATTTTTCTCCCAAATATTTACATTTACTTGAGAAAAATTCTACCTGTAAAATTATGGTTTATTAACGTCTACACCACAACCCTAAACCTACCCTTACAGTAATGCAAATACAGTAATTATGTGTTATATTCGCGGTTGTAGCTAGAAGGGATACAGCTACAGGAAACCAACAATAAATATTTTTTTCTACCTATTAGATTGTGTTTTATTAAAGTCTACACCTACCCCAACCCTAAACCTACCCTTACAGTAATGCAGATATATTAAAT